CCAGCTTTTGTGCAAGTGTGTGTGTGTGTACACGTGATTCAGTGTATTTCTGTGGGCCTATAATATATGCTACAGGTTAAACCAGTGTGGATACATGTCCAATATGTGGCTAAAATTGAAAAGACAGCTCCTCCCATTACTCAATATATGTATCCAGTTTGCTCCAGCACCATCTGGAGATGACATGGCTGCTGATAGAAACTCCTGAATGCCACAGAATGAAACTGACATATTTTAGACATGATGAGAAGCAGCAATTACCGTACTTCGAAGCCATTTTATGCTCCACCCTGGGAGGGAGTGTTAGGCTGGGCTTGTAAAGACCTGGGTCACTGTTGTTGGAAAATGACCAGTTGACAGTGAAGCAGTGAAGTGAGTCAATGGGAATTTGTCGTAACTGCAGAAACCTCTTGAGCATGTCTTGTCTGTGGTTTTCTTCTGTCAGCCTTAATCTGACGAAATTGTTTTCTGCTTTCACAACCAGTTTGTTGCACCAGTGTTATTTACCACATTAAAAACTTTTACTCGGTCGAAGGTAAACTGTTAAATCTTGATATTAACATTGAAGGTTTGCTGCAAGTGCTGCCCCTCACACTGAGATTCAACACTTACACACCTGTTAGCCATGTTTAGCTAACCACCTTTTGCTACAAATAAAAGACAAGCTGGGTTTACGCCATCTTTCCAGTGTGAAGCAACAGAAGACTAAACTAAAAGCTGCCTCTTATAGCAAGCCAGGAGATATTTTCCTAAGAAGTTAGCAGAGTAAACCAAAGACAAAGCTGAGTGAAAACTGAATTTACATTCAACAGGTTGCAAGAAAGAGATTTCCAGTGGGATGTGAATATTGCTCCATGTCTACTGGATGTGTCAACCCTTTGCTAAGACATTAGCCATAACAATTTAAGCTTCAAGGACATCAATAATCTGTTGCCGAGAGATTGTTTTGGGTCTTTCTGTTTTTTAATGACTAAAAATTACCTTGATTGCAGCTTTAATATACAATTCTGTAGATCTTTTAAATGAGCCTCTCAAACATCATCTATATAATAGATAGCCAAAGTCATGACGTCCGGGCTAGCTTCCACTAGTTTCTGCAACTTAATGCAATTTCACATTCAGCATTTATTTCATTGGTCTTTCTGAAAAAATTAAGTGGACTCCTGGGGTTTTTCTTTAAGACAAATTGGCATCCACTACAGCTCTCACTACCAGAAACTGAAACCTTAAACATTTGCTTTGTGAGCACAAAAAAAAAAAAACTGCAGCGCCCATGAAAATTTATAAGTGCAGTAGCACGTGTACTTTATGTCATCATAACTTGTCGGTGGCCATAAAACTCACCAACGCTCTTTTCTAAAGTCATTTTTCTGACTTTCTAGATGTAATCTCTGCTGCAGCGTTCAGTCCTCCCTGTCCTGCTGTTATTACAGACATGAACTAACCGCGACCCCTCAACTTGCCTGGGACTCGCCTCTTTTGTTGAGCTGTGATATTAGGCCCGCAAAGATGTAGGGCTTATGGGAAATTGAGTTTGTTAAACGCCACAAAAAACTGAAGTATTGAATACACTACAGTATTACATTGATTCTCAAAGAATTACTGTATTTATGGTGCAAGAACATCGACACACTATGGAGTATGGAAACCTGACAGGTTCATTTTGGCTCTATATTAGCAGGAGAAAATATCTTTGCTGTATAGCCTTATTTATGCTTTTTCAGTGCAGTTTCAATGTTATTCATGTACAACATAACAGTCTACCACACATCACATGTACACAGACAGTTTAATTGCTTGTGTGTGTGGAGGAACTGACCTTGCTCTTGTCAGTTTCCCCTCGAGCCGTCAGTTCCGTCGACCTCAAGCTAATTGCTGAATGACAGGTTGTGTAAACTCTTGATGCTACACGTGTTAGACTGGCCTTTACGTGCCCCCTCAGTCACACTCATAAGACACACACCAGATAGTGTGCAGCAGTAATACCTGACACATGTAAGCTTCATCTCTCAGCATTAAGGGTCTGAAAAAGTTTGAAAGTTGACATTAAACTTTTGTAGCTCTACCATAAATAACATGTTGTTCAGCACTTCTTTTTTTTTTTTTTTTTTTCAATTCCAGAACGGAAAAATCTTATTTGTTAAAACACGGCACTGAGTTAATATTTTCATTGGTTGTTCTGCAAGACATAGAGCCCATAAGGTGATGATTAAGCATGGAAATGCATTCTGCCTCCAGAACCTTGAGGCTTGCTGTGGTTGTTTAGAATTGTTTGTTGAAAACCCTGTTTCCTATCCTCTGCACCTCCTCTTGTCCTGAGCACATATGGTTGGCTCGCTTCTCTACATGCCTGGCCTCGGCTGAGAGACTGAGGCTTACATGGCTCAGTAGAAACCCCTTGACCCGTGTGATGCTACTGTCCATCTTTGGAAAAATGTCACCCTCTTCTAAATCTCTTTTGCTGATACGGAGATGTTCTGTTTCGTCACGATCAGCGAAGAACAACGTGATTCACTCAATAAGATGCAGTCTGGACACTGAAGTCAACACAGGTTTCGCCTCCTTGTCCTGACCCCGGCTTCTCCCTTCCCTGCTGAGAGTTACACTCTCAGCTTGCAGGAAACACTATCCACCTTCCAAAGCCTGCGTTGTCGGAGGAACACAAAATTAGTTGAACTTGTGCTTTCCGCGTTCCTCATTCCTTTAGGCAGCCAGACATCTCTTCTGGTTTCCATTTGTTTTAAGCTATTAGCACTCATGACCTGATAAGGGAGTGGTTGGTGAAGCACAAACATCCGTCTCTGAATACATCCGTCATTGTCCATATGTGTTTGACTGGAGCAATAATATCCGCTCCTGGAAAGGTTTGACTAAAAAGGCCTCGAAGTGAAACCACTGCGGTGTGCACAAGTGACTTTATGTAATCCTCAACCAAGGTCCGAATATTATGTGCTCTAGTATTCAGAAAATATGTTCCATCTCAAGAAATGTCTTGGACAGGCTGCAGCACTGGCTGTTAAGCAATTGAAGTGCACAGGCAGCTGACCAGAAAAAAACAGCACTTTAAAGACTTTTATAGGGGTTAGTTTCTGGCATGTGAGAGTTAAGTGCTCCGCATGCTATGAATGTCACCTCCAGTCAGTTTCCACTGGTGCTTTTTTTGCTTGTTTGCTTTTGTAAGACGGATACTACTGGCAAAAACACACATCAGTCAAACATGTCTTTATTTGTAGATGATGTACAGTCTGTTTTATTTGACTGTCTCTTCTGCATTTGGCACGACATCAGTTACGTCTGTGTTGACAGCGCCTGAGCCATTCAAGTGGCTGCCTCCTAGACAACTTACTGGCAATGTGCTAAACAATAAGCTGGCAGTGAAGCTGAAATTAGATATTTTTACCATTCCATTATGGGAGTTCAAAGGAGGAAAAAAAAAAAAGAAGAAGAAGGGGGGGACCTAAACATGCACTTGGAAGCAGCGTTTTAACATTTACTCCTTGTGGAGTTAAAGTGAAGACGTGGCGAGATGGAGACGAGTTGATTATCACACTGCACTGAGAGCAGGATAGGGCTTTGCTGGGAAACAGTGATTATCTTAAGAAATTGTCAGTTGCAGAGATGAGCTTAACACAGAGTGTGCACAGACTGAAGGGCTGTCTGTTCAACTGCATAAGTCTCCTTTAGTGCAATCCTATCATTTCTTCTCCCACATTTGGACAAAGCCAGTTATCATTTATCATGGTCAGTGTGTCACTTCTATAAATATTCATTATTCAGGCCATGAGTCAACCAGGAATTGTTTGCAGCTAATTGGATCCGGTTTCAGACACTTGTAACAGAGTTGGGACCCTCAGGGACGTCTGCACCTGGTATTAAGAACTTCATTGATGACACTTACATCAGCGGCCTGACCACAGTGTCGCAGACTTGTTGCATTTGTTGGGAATCAATCACGCCTGACTCCTGGTGCGCCTCAGTATTCCCCAGGTCTGTTAGGGTCACTTGCGGGTCGCGACGTGTGCGCGCAGTAACACAGGGCAGATGCTTTGTCAGCATCAATATATTTAGGTCGTGTTCTTGAATTTCTCGGGAAACTTTGCTCCATGCTCGCTGCCTGAGTAAAAGCATGGCATGTCTGTTCTCCCTTGGAAAACAGGGCTTGAAAATGACATAATGACTGCACATTATGGATGATGTAGTGAAATTTAATATCTACAGTCCTGCAGTGGCACGACTAAAGACAAGCTCTCAGTCAGTTGCTACAGTGATTTCTCTGTTTTGTGTTTACGGTAAAGTTTATTTGACCCTTTAAAGGAGCCCTTGTCCCGGTAATTAAAAATTACACTTGCGTATAAAACTTTGCATAAACACCTCATTTAGGTTGGATCCATTCTCAGTGCCTGGATTGTGTAACTTGCTGCATGACTGCAAGTTCTTCGGTTTCAGTGAGCGCTGGTGGTACTGTTGGCAAGCGTGCTCCAGATATGACAAGCATCCACAAATAAAGCAAAGAGGGATGCGTTTGAATAAAGGCCTCGAGGGAAGAGAGGCAGAGAGGAGTGATGCTGAGTGATGGCTTTGGCTCACATCCACCCTCATAAACAAAGAAATGTTGGTGTTGTGGTGACGCAGAAATCTCAGGAGTGAAAATTCTTCTTTCTTTTGCAAAGCTGTGCAGACAAACGGTGGCAAACCTCAACTTCCTAATTCCTGGAATTTCTCCGCACAGACGAACGTTTCCGAGCACGCACACATAAAGGCGAATGGGTGAATGAATGATAACAAATAAGCCAGTTCTTTCAAATATATCTGCCTTTACTTTATTCATGTACTGTACAGTATTTCATTTTCCAAAGTCTCTATCATACTATATGACAATAATGGCTATTTACTACAAAAAGGTTGCATAAATAATTTAAATGTGGAAATAAAAAATAAATATGCAGTTCATTCTTTATTACAGTCCTTCTTTGTGTCTGTAGAAAACAGCCCTCCCTCCCTCTCTTTAACAGCCCGTCATGTGAGGGCACCACTGCAGAAGACCACACAGGTTCGCGTCGCAGCTCTCAGCTCTTACACGATAATAAACCCCCCTTCCAGTTGCTATTTCAAAACATAGAAGTCGGAAAAAGAAGCAAACATTGTCAGTACAGTTTAGACAACCCCAAAACAAAAAAAAAAAAGAAAAATCAGGAAGCAACATGAGCCGGGAAAAAAAAAAAAACAACGGAGTGCTGACAATATGCGGAAACATTGTGAGTATTCTTCGTGAAGTTCGGTCCCGTCTGAGGCGTCGCTCGAGGAAGGAGGTTGTGTCGTCTGTGCTGACAGACTGGGTATCGCCGCTTCCTCTTCCCGCCGGATTGCAGCAGTCAACACAATGATAAAAACTGAATTATTGTTATCATTAGGTTATTTTTATTCCTATCTTTCCTGTCTGAGCTATTTACAGGGTGGTGCAGAGAGGAACGGAGGTGTTCTTGAATCTTACAGGCTGACACAACAGAGGGATTTGGGCTGTCGATGGCTGATCGCTGCTCTATTTGGCCCGTTGCAAAAGAATTCCGGTGTGGGCGTGTTGGAGAGCGCTCTGCCCCTAGGTAACAACACAACCACGCACAATTTTCTGATGCCTCCTACACACATGTGCACTTTTTGTATGTGATTCCAGCAAACAGGAACTGGCTAGAGGAAATGGCTTTTTATGACTCAAATGCTAACACAGGAATGGGCTCATTTAGTAATTAAGAGGAGTCACAGGAATGCCCAGTGCCCCCTGTGGTGTTAGTGCTGAGGAAACTGCTTTCTCTCCCAGTCTCTCCTCACTCTCTGTATCTAGTCGTGGGAAAAGGCGCTACTGTAACTGACAGGCCTGGTTGGGGCTGCTGCTGCAGAGGTGGTGGTGGGGGGGAGGGGTGCTGTAGGTCTGTCCTGATGAGTGAGGCCTTTAGCGGGCTGTCAGAGAGCCGCGTGGACCGCCGTGCACGCCAGGCCCTCTGCAAAACTGTCAACATCCCACCATCAGAGCCCCCAGAGCTGCCACCATCTCCTCCACACACAGCCAAAAAGGAGATGGATTACAACCACTTTGGAGCGGAGATACACCTTTTCAGCTTTAAACAGAGCCGTGGTGCGGTGTAGCTCTGCATCCGCTGGATGTTTGTACAGATGGGCCTGAGGCCTCGGGGAGTACTTCTCATTATGCTTAAATGAAATGTGGCTGAGTGCAAGACGGAGACCGAGCTCAGGGAGGCTTTTGAGCTGTTGGGGTGATCAGATACATATTATCCGACGTGGTGCAACATCTCCTGACCAGTCGCAGTCGTGGCAAGTCCTGGCACTGACTCATGCAAATAAGCAAAAGTTCACAAATGTGCTGACAAGTGGCTGAAAAATAAAAGACGAATGACTTAACATCAGCCCAGCAATTAGCTTATGAATTCGCTCTCTTTGAAATTTCTCTTGCATCTTCTCCCTATCTGAAGGAAATATGTTGGTCGGTGTGTGTGTGTGTGTGTGTGTGTGTGTGTGTGAGTGAGTGTGTGTGTGTGTGTGTGAGTGAGTGAATGTGCTTCAGTCTTTGTCCTCAGATGCTGGAGAGCCACATCAGTACGAGTTGCCTGTCACTGGTGTGTTGTTCTTTTTCCGCTCTTGAGGCGAACGACTGTGCTTCTTGTTGCGTTGCGTCTTCGGGACCTCCTTGGCCACCGACTGGTTGTGGTGGGGCCTGAAGCGCTTGCACTTGCAGGAGGTGACCACGCGGATTTTGTAAGTCCGTGTGTTGCCGTTAGGACACTGCAGCTGGACCCTGCGCGTCCGCGAGTGCGCCGGGATGCAGCGGTAGTCCGAGGCGCTGCTCCTCCACCACTTTCCCCGGACGATGGAGTTCGGCATGAGGTGCGCTGGCATGCACTGGCCCGAGCACACCAGCTCCCTGACGGGTTTGGCGCTGCGGCAAGATCCGTCGGTGATGTAACGGGTGGAACGCAGCTCCCTACAGCTCAGCTCTGAGGCACCTGGGTTGAAGAGCAGGATATCACAGTTACACTCATGGCTTCAGCCCAAAACAAACACTTTGAAGTGCCGCACACTGGAGTGGACAGGTTAACTGCTTCAGCGCTGCGGCTCAGTCTTGTGCTAATTTCTCTGATTCTGTTCATGAACTCGCCGCTTGTGTTATTTAGTGACAATAAGCCAAAGAAAAGAAGAAAAAAAAAAAAACATCAGGCAGCACATTTTCATTTCCGTTTGACACACTGTGCAACACAAGAGCGCAGCCGAAAAATGCACCTTTACAAATTCAACTTAATACAACAATTTGCGCGTTTAAGTTAAGCCTTAAGCCAATGAGATTCAGATCAGAGTTTCTGTATTTGATTCATGGTCTGATCATTAGCTGACGATGGGGCTTCACAAAAGAAATCCAGCTGGCAGCAATCAGCTGATAGCAAATCCAGACCAGAGGGCCATTAAACAGCTCAATCAAACCTAATGGAGGTTTGGGCTGGAAGGAAAAGCTGGCATACAAGCGTTGGCCCTCAGGAAATGTATGTGGTGATGGAAGAGTAAATAGCTGTCTGGTTATTTTAAGGCAGCGCTGCAACTGTACAATTTTGAACAAACTGGACATCTGCCAGACTGATTTGAGACAACACGCTCAGCCTGTAATCCTATATTTCAGCCACAGCTTTTTAACAGCCGTATGCATGAGTTATTGTTCTGTGTTTTTTTTTTTTTTTTTTTTCTTGTTTTGTTTTTTTTCACATGCAGTGAGTAAAAAAGGGGCAAAAAGGAACTGTCGGTTAAGAAATGATACACTCAGAGAGGGATCTGTTTTCCTCTGTGGCTTTCTTTGCAAAAAGGGCTGAACAAAGGATTTATGTGAGGTGACTTCTTCTTTCTTTTTTTCTCCCCATGAGAACCTGATCTAGTGTTATTCTGTGGCCCGCCGCTGAAGCGACCACAGTAGTATACAGTATCTACAGCACGCACTGGGGTAGCGGTTTTGCACCAGTTACCACAGGTTGTCTTGTTCAACGAGCGTCGGTGTCTTTCCCCTTCACATTTCCTGCTCTCCTCTTTACTGTCAGCCTGGAAAAAAAAAAGCATTACTAATGAGGGTGGCCTGAAGAAAAAGAGAAAGTAAGATCACACACTAGACTACTGTACAGTTGCGTGAGCTGGTCTTCTCCTGCGGCAGAGAGAGGCGAGCCTTGGGAGAGGACTGGAGGGAGGCCAGGCAGTGGTCAAAGCCTCCGCTCTGACCCCACAGGGACCATGAGAAGCCGTCCCAGGACGAGAGCTGAGAGGCGGACGGAGAAAATAATCCAGGAGATTTCTGTCTCCCTGTGAAACCCATCACATATTCCTGCTTATCCATATGAAAACAAGGAGGATGCATTTTTTCCAGCCCTTTTTTGGAGACTAGTAAAAAAAAAAAAAAGAAAAAAAAAAGAATGTAAAACATGATCTTGTTCAAGGTGTGGATTTGCTGCTTTGCGTGTGATTTCTCAGCCCATCTCCTGAGGTGTTAAGATCCTCAACAGTCACACTAACAGGTCCTGACTTGCTAATTCCCTCGCTCCATCAGCTGATGTTCCTCTAATGTAATCAATCATCATCTCCTCTGATCTCGCCTTTGAGTGGCCATGATTAAACGACAGCTAAACTGTGTGAGAATATTCGCACCACCCATCTTGAATCCATGAGAGCAAGCGTTAGATTATCCTACGTGCACGGCTCAATCAGAACACACAACCTTTACTGGCCACAGGTGGGAATCATTCTCAAAGGCAGTGTTGCATTTAAAAAGCAATTTCCAAACCCCCCCCCCCCACACACACACACACACACTCCCTCCCCAAAAGACACCCCCCTCCACCACCCGATGAACAAAATGTGGGGTTTTTCTATTTGGGAAACATGTTGTTGCAATCAAATAGTTATGGTGGAAGTAGAGCTTGACTAATAGTATAAAGAGAGAAGGAAATAAACTGGAGGACAACGTGAAAAAAGACCTGATGTCTCTGTTAATGCTCCACTTCAAAATTGTGTAGGGAAAGAAACCACAAGAATGTGTGTATAAGTTGCTCTCATCACCCTCAACTTTGGCAGTGAATTAAACAGAAAACACTCTTCCCACACGGCGGAGCTGCTCTTGATCAGGGAACCGGTGTGAAAATCAAGTGAGAGATAGAAATATATAGATCTATATAGATCTATATATAGATACATATATATCTATATGTATCTATATATCTATAAAATTAAAAGCTTTTGCTCCTTTAGAACAAAATCAGAGGTAGAAAATTGAAGAACAGGTAAACTTATCAAATGTATCTTAAATTTATGAAGTAGGTTCTTTAACATTTGTGGTAAAGAGGGAAGTCTGAGCGCAGCCACTGAACCGCAGTTCCAACAAACACTTCAATCTTTTACTTTGATAAAGAAAATGTATTTTTTACAAAAATAAAACATCATAATCTTAAATATAAATTTATACTGTCTAGACGAGATTAAATTATATACATTTACATACTCCCGCGCACTTGTTCACATAGACTACTGTACATGAGGTCGCTTGCGGCTGATACACGGCTTTACCTCTAAATGTATTTATTCCTCCTTATATTCACGGTCACGCATCAGGCCCCTGATAAAGACTCAATAAAATGACTAATTACAACAGAATTAATTATGAAACTGCTGCTTTCAATTTCATTTCTTCTCAAACACTTCAAAATACGTAAAAAATCAGCATTTTAAAACCTTGAATGAACTTCTCTGAATACTTACTGAAGGAGACTGAGTTCGCGCCTCTTCCACCGTTTTTCGCCCTGTTATTCATACTGTTGCTGTTGCTGTTATTGCTGCCGTTGTTCGCCTGTGGTATTGCCTCCTGGGGTGTCCGAGTGTTTTCTCTGTACTCCGGTAAAATCTCCGTAGCATCATTCTTTAGTACCTTCCATCCCTTGACGACGGTGCAGCATCCCTGGAGCAGCAGCAGCAGCGCCGAGCTGGAGACGAGGAGGGCCAGAGACACCTGCATGCTGGTCGGCCGGCGGCACAAATAAAACCACAGCGCACGAAGAGAGGGGGGAAAGAATATACACACACACGCACACGCTCACACACACATTAGAGATGCCCGCTGCTTGGACAGGTTGGTCACTTCCACCCTCAAAGCAAGAGGCGCACGCGGTATTTAAGCCTACGCAAGTTCGCGTCAAGGCTGACAATTAAAGCGCTTACACGGAGTGGGAGGGGTCGAACCTGGGCGAGAGATTCATTGAGAAACAAGGAGGGGAGAGGGTTGGATGCGTGCGCAAAGACGAGAGGAGAGGAGGTAAAAAGGACAGAAGAGGAAAATAAAAGAGGGGAAAGGTGAGGAGGAGAGGAGAGGAAGGAGGGAGAAGACTAGAGGAGAAGAAATGGGAGGAAAAGAGGAGAGGAAAATCAAGGAGAGGATAAGAGTAAGAGGGGGGTAAGGAGAGGAAAATAGAAGAGGCAGAAAGTGAGAGGAGATGAGAGGAAAAGGGAGAAGATAGAGGGAAGGGTCAGGAGGAGGAGGAGGAGGAAGACACAGCAGAGGAAAAGAGTAAGAGGAGAGGAATGAGAGAGGAGAACGATAGAGAAAAGACAACCGAGGAGAGGAAAAGAAAATAAAGGAGTGGAGAGGAAAATAGAGAAGAGGTGAGAAGATTGAGGGAAAAGGTGAGGAGGAGAATGAGAAGAGGAAAATAAAGGAGTGAGAAGAGAAGAGGGGGAATGAAAGACAAGAAAGAGGGAGGTGAGAAGAAAAGAAATTAGATTTTTTTATGACAGGAGAGGAAAAGAGAGAGAGTTGGGGGGGCGAGAGAGTGACAGAAGAAGAGAGGACAATAGAGGTGAGGGAAATGTAAGGCAGAGCAGATGAAATGGGGGAGAGAGGAGGTAAGAGGGGAGAAAATGAGAGGAGAGATGAAGAAAAAATAGGGGAGGGAAAGAGTGAGAGAAGAAGAGAAGAGGGAAAAAAAATTAGAGCAGAGAAATGGGAGAGGTGAAGAAGAGAGGGGAGAGAAACAGTGAGAGGAGATGAGGACAGAGGAAAAGGGAGGTAAGAGGGGAGGGAAGGAGAGAAAACATGAGGAGAGAAGACGAAAGAAGGAGAGAAGAGAGGAGCCCACTTGTGCCTGAGTGTGATGAGTGAGAGCGGATCTGCACATTTCTCCTCGCTGTTGTTGTTGTTGGAATTAAGTGTACAAATGCATCTTCTCCCCCTCTTAACGATTTCCGCAGCATTACGTGTCTCTAAAGCATTCAGCCGTTTTCTTTCTTTTTTTTTTTTTTTTTTTTTTTTTTTTTTTTTTGAGGTGGTTTATTTTGGACTGCGTCTCAAGGCGAAGCGGGGAAATGAAGTTGTTCCACTGCTGCAACATGCGCCTCACACTCCTCCTCAGAGACTCTCCCCTGCCTGTTTGATACGAGGCTGTGCACACGTTAATCATTAATGTCTCACATTAATTACCCATAATCACACAGCTCAATAGAGACATTCAAACCAGTGAGACGCTCAGCGGGGGCTTTTTCTTTTCTCGCACTTTCAAGAAATGCACTGACCCTTTATCAGCCGCTTCCTGCTGCAGTGAGATACAACACGGCACCATGTGTTGTGTACATGATTTGGATCTAGCTAATGCTTCACATGGGAATCCAATAATCTATATCCTTTTGTATCTGCTTTGAATAAAATGATATAGATTGAGGACTGAGTTTCTTGGCATCCCTCATTTCCCAGTGATTTGATGAGTGCTGACAGATGGAGGCTCTTTCATTCAAACACTGCCCTCTTGAGGGAGAAGTCTTTCTGGAGGGGAATGACAGGATTAGGGTTCATTAGCATCAGAGTGGTCTTTTATAAATGCCCAGCTCCTTTGGTGGGCACGGACACGCACAGGCAAGTCAGAGGAAAAGCTTGAAAGATAAAATAAAGCCAGAGATACAAAGGGGATTATCATGGTCAATATCTCCGCTTTGACACATGTTGTACCCGTTCATTTGAGGCAGAGAGACGCTTCTATAATCATACGTGTCGACCTCGTGTCCATCCACATTTATACAAGCCTTAAATCAGGGTTTGTAGCTGCGGCCAACTGGTCGGCCACTAAAATGGGATAACACTAAATTAAAAATAATGATATTGTGAGATGAGGCTTAAATAAAACTGGTTTATCAACATCGTTCTGCTCTTCTAGAGAACCAGTAACAGCGGAATCAAAGTCTCATCAAGTTAAACAACAGTCATCTAGAGGTTTAGAGGTTTTTTGTGAGTGTCAAGTAAGATTTTTGAAGTTGTTGCTCAATAATAATATATGTCCCTTAATATAAATTTTACAGTTTTCTTGAGTAAATGTGCTGACATGCACGCGTCAACCAAAAGTCAAATATGTGATGTTGTCAGGTGCAGGATCATGTCTAAAGACGTTTGACTGAAAGTAAATTAAATATATATATTTTTTTAAAATTCCGGTTTCTCTTTGGATATAACGTTGAAGCAATACTATTAAATATTTGTTTTGGCCACTTTGGGGAACATTGTTGTATTAGCACTCCATTAAGTTGTTATGGCTAGTGTGTTAGCAAAGCATAGCCTATTTACCAACCCTGGATGCTAGAGATGATGTGTATATCTTATTTATAATTAAGCTGCAACAGTGAATTTGTTTTGCAGGAAACATTTGACTGGATGAAGCTTTCTACTGACATACCAGGGTTGTTAATTTACGTATTTGGCAAGTTGCAAATATGTTGACACTGAATGCATCAGTAGTTAAGACAACATTTGTTTTCCACCAAAATATCCAATAAAATATCCGCTTATAGTGACTACAGCTGCACTGTGAAAGATGGCCATTGTCATGACCGTCTCACAATAGTTGTGTCCCAATTCGGGATCTGCATCCTTCGGAGGAGGCAGCATTTATTTCACCGCAGCGCGACTAGACTGTCCCATTTCAAAGGATCCTTCAAATTCGTCCTTTTCCCGGGCAACGAAGGATCCACCCACTGGTAATGCAAAGTGAAAATCCTCCAATTACTAGACCGTCTTATTTCGGTTTGGCCCATGTGGTCTACAACAGCTACGAAGGGCCACACCTTCGCAGGCCACGTCCTCCGAATGATTAGGCCCCTGAACTGGGCAGCAGCTACTGTGACTGCTGATACAACATGTGTCTACTAACCGACCAATACGAACGCAGCATGAAATGACGTATTTATCAACTACCAATCTTGCTTAGCTTCACTGTTCACCACTATGGCAGCGCAGATGGATGATTCATGCTGACAACGTTTTATTCTTGTGTCGTAGCTACGATTCAATATGTGTCACCGTCGTACAGTTTCCATTCATCACACGTGATGTTGTACCCAAGTGCATTAGATTCATGTCGCACAGCGTGGCCTGTAATAAACTTGAGACTGATGAAATCTCACAGTCTGTAGGCATCCGAATACAGGAAACATTCAGAAAACCATGGTCTGTCTCTAAACTTACCCTAAGTGCTTTCGTTGCCTGAACCACAGATGGGACTGTGGAGGTGAATCCTGGTCTCTGCTGTGACAGTCATGCGTTTGTACACCCACCGTCCACCCCGACAAATCCACTGCTGTTAATAACGGGGTTTCTATTTCCACATTCAACAAACACAGAGCAGCAACACTATCATCTATTTCAGTGAAAACAGCTGCTGCTGGAAGTGAGGGTGATGAGAGTGGAGTGGAAAACCAAAACAATAGGCTAGAAGAAGCTAAAATGCTTTGTAGTGGAGCTGCAAAATTGGGTGATAATTCTCTGTGGGTTTGACACTACGACCAATAACTGTCTACACTTAGTAATTTGAATATTTTGCAAATGGAAAGTTTAAATCTTGTAAAGCAACTTGTTTCTTTCAGTTAGCCGTCAGATCGCTGTTGCAGGTGGAGGCTCTTAAATAAAGCTTTGAGCTGTCGTGTGTGCTGCACTGAAGTTCAAGCTGAGAACTGGCTGCTCACTGATTCTTCTGCAGCCGTATTTTACGACATTGGCAACAACAATAAACTGGACAGAAGCTCGGTAAGACATTAACAGTAATAATGAGGGAGATTGATTCCAGGGTATTGGCTAATAATGGCCAACATATGGGAAAAATGAGGAATTTGATACCGGAGGGATCGATTTGTTATTCTAAAAACTCTGATCAGTGCAGCTTTAAGCTTTTTAAGCTTCAAGAATTAGCAGGTAACAAAGATATATCTGAGGTCACTGTGTGTGTCCAAGAAATTCTTGTCTGATTTATATTCTGTCTCAATTGTGGAAAGATTTGTTCACATTCATGAGCATCGATGGGGCTTTTGAGACAGTTATGAATTCTGATGTTGAGCATGATCCTCATTTCATAAGCCAAGAGATTTTAAAGAAACTAGAATAGACAGCTATGTCTTCCTATTGTGTGTAATCTTCCAGCTCTGAGCGTGTGCCAGAATTTTTTTTTTTTTTTTTTTTTTTTTTAAAGAGAGCGATGGATGGTCCCACTGTCTACGCAAAGCCAGCTCTGATTACAGCCCTCTCACCGACATCGCGACGGATGTCCGTCACAGTCTCAATTTAGACCTCTCTGGGTTTCTTTATAGAGCCCTTGGGCCCCAGCTCAGTGTTTTTTCTCATGATAACAGTACAATGAGGCCCAAATAACAATCAGATGCTCACCAGATTGCGAGAAAGCCTCCAGCGCTGCGAGAGGATGGCGGAGCGTAATTTTTATGGAAATGGAGCAAAACTGTTTTCAGTCCATAAAAGCATTCCAGCTCCTCGTGCCCGGTGTTTGGTAGCGTACAAGTTTAACTACTCCATCACACAGGTTAGAGACAAATTTCCCATTTTTCCCTTCAATACAATTACAAGCCAATGAAAGTAAATACAGTGATTGTGTTACTGTGTTGTGTGATGGAAAAGCTGCAATATTTAACTCCTAGTTTGAGGAGGGAAATTATTCATAATGTGTCTGCTGCAATTATGCAAAGTAAGTTCAAGTTTAGCTTTCTGGCTCCACACATCAGTTCCTAGAAAGATATTATTGTCAAAGCTTTATGAATGTGAGTTAACATGAGGTTTAATTTTTTTTTCTTCTGTGAACTTTGGCCCTGCCTT